TACTATAGTTCAATTGTGACTTTTAAAACTAGAGGAATTCAATCAATGTGAACTCCATATAAACTAACCTTCAATCTAGGAACGGGTGTGATTCCGAATCAAATCACCAATCTTAAAAAGTCATTCTATGCTCACACCGCAAAAAGTTTTTATATCGAATTGTTACAAAGAAAATAGACATGTGCGAGTCCTTTTCTCAAAATCAAATGACGATTTTCAAAGTAATGGTCAGTATACAGTGTATTAAGAATAAAATCTCTTGTTCAAACGCATACAACTTACTGTATTTGAGGAAACTTTTATATGATAATAATATCTATAAGATGCTTGTAAAAATGACCCTCATATATTTTGTGAAAACTCGGCTCTGAGATACCACTATTTGATACCGTGCCAGATTAAGCACTAAGAAAGTGTTCTAAAGAATACTAGAAAACGTTCGTTAGCGGATGTTTAAAAGCCCCATCAGGTCAACTGTGCGCCCAAGGCTACTCATAAATACTAAGAGAGAGTGAATGGGATAACTTTAAAACCCAATCAGTTACTAAACTCTCAAACGAGCCTATACAAAATCCACCACAGAAGAATCAAAGTGCGGAAATGTAAATATATGCGGAACGCAATAATAAGAAAAAGAACACACTGGATTTATAGTGGTTCGTTTCAAACCTTGACCTAGGTCGTCTCGACCCTATCCTTGGGTAGGCACCCTACCAAGTATTGCATTAATCACCAAAGTATCTATCCCTCTATAAGGCCCACGCGACAGCTAGCGTACACCAGGCAAGCCTTAAAAATCACAAATTTCACCTTCCCGGTGACGCCACCACCACGTAGTCGCCGGGTAACAGGAGACGTCGGCGCTCCGGTTGGTCCTTTGACTGAGAGTAAAATGAGCGTTTCTTTGGTGCACCCTCCTCAAGACAAGCCTTGAATCTATGGGACTAAAGTGCTCCGAGTAGCATCACGTACAGCACACCTCGCGTGCGGCGATAGCGCGGCTCTGCACATTTTCTTGATATCTTGCGTGGAACCAGCACCCTTGGCAGTTTCCTCCCCCTCCAGATCTTCTCCCTCTCAAAACCTCCCTTTATCTCTCTCCCTTCAAGCTCTCTCTTCAAGTTCACCACGCAGAGCCAAAATAAAAGCGACTCAGAGCACTGTGGGAATTCAACAGATACACCATCCGAAGTAGAAGATTCTCGTGCTTCTTTCATCTCGATTACAGTGCTTGACAAAAAAGTTCTAATAAATAGCTGAGCCTTTCTTTAACCTGCAACCAGCTTGGCGACCTGGGGTATCTTTCATATGACCCGGGCCAGATTATTCTCCAGCGAGAGAGAGCAAATCATCGTTCCTGGCCGGATAGGATACAATTCATGTGAGGAAATTCGTTGCCTGAATATCGGCCTGAAATAATGAGCTTGGACGACTGTAGATCTGTCCAGGACATAGCCTGCGTGTGATCGCCACGGTCCGTGGCCACGGCAGAACCGCAGCCTGGACGGATTGATTGATAGCACATATCACATTAACAATCCATATTACTCCTTAACCCATAAGAATACAGACAAGTTCTAGCATACATGAGTTATCGCATTCGCGGGTCCCTCTGGACGATATTAGCCGAACTACTGCTTCCTGGTCTAAGGGCCCAAACTTCCAAAACATAAGCACACACACTCTGATTATGGCGGTGCTATTCTTTCTGAAATGTGAAAGATTATACAATCGCGGTCGCGACCTTTAAAAGGAACCGTTGTCATCCCGTCCAGCCACGCTGAGTAGCCTCAGTTTGACTTAATTGAATCACTAGGCACGTGACGAGTTTACTGACATCGATGTTGATTGCCTGCGTATAATCAGGAGAATTGGTTTCTGAATTACTCCTGGTCCACGAGTAGTCGCAGTCAGGCTTTGCTCATGACTATAGTGAATATGAGTCCCGATCTGAACAGTGGATCGAGTGTTGGACTCAAAATATAAAATCGACTTTATTATAGGGAACGACCATACTCTGTTCCCGTAGTTACCAATGAGATAGTGACTCGCAAACCTGAAGCACTTCATCCATCTACACCACGACTGCAGCAAAAAAAGGATATACAAACTGACTCATGGACCTTTGCACAACTATGCCAATACAGGTTATTTCCTGAGTGGGGACGTGCCTTTAAGGTTGTATTGGCCACAGGGTCCAGATCACACGAAGACAAAATAAAGAATTGATTGAAAGCAGATTCGAGGTGGGCAATATACCGTGTTAGACAATTCTACAGAATATAATTTTAGTAGAAATATAAATAAATAATTTACATTAATAAAACAAATATTCTAGAAATTTAAACTTAAAGGAATAATTTATGCATATAGATCCAAAAACTTAAATTAATATTAGCCATGATAATAATAATAATTAACTATATATTTAATTATGATTATTATATATTATAATATTAACGACTATTAATTATTTATGATGTATATTGATTGTATAATATAATTAAGTAATATTTATTAGTTGTATAATCATAATTATAATACTAATTCAATATTTAAATTTAATTAGTAATTAATTAATAATAGTTAATTAGTTAAAATAACTATTAATTATACAATATAAGTGATCAATTATAGATTAGTGGAAACCTATTAATAAATTAAACAATGTTTACATAATCAAAAAAAAGAAATAAAAAACGTCCCTCATCATTCTCTCTAAGTTTGGAGATTTACAGGATTTGGCCGAAGAAGCTCGTCTAAGGGAGAAAGTTACCTTAAGAGCCAGTAGAATAGGCTCATTGCTCTGTTCTGGCTATAAAATGTCGTAACTTCCGATTAACAGGAAGGGAAAGTCAGAGCGAAGTCCGGACCAGGGGAGGCGGGTAAGGGGTTGGCAGAGGCAGGAAGGTGACGGGGATGCGGTTCCGGTCTTGGAGGAGTGGCTTGCGGTTCGGCCGCGATATGGGAGGTCGGAGCATGAGTTGGCGGGAGAAGGGCTTCGAGTGTTCGGACAGAGAGGGTGGAAGGCCGGCTTCAGGTAAGGATTTCAACTCCTCTCTCTCTCTCTCTCTCTCTCTCTCTCTCTCTCTCTCTCTCTCTCTGCTGGAGGTCAGATGGGGGCTTGGAGTCGAGAGCTGGAGCTCTGCGTGCGGGAAGAGGCGAACGGGAGAGGAGAGATCGCGTGGAGTCGGACAGAGGAAGAAGGATTTCGTGTGTGGAAGCGACGGGAGCAGAGGGATTCAGCGTGTGAAAGAGCAGCGACTGAAGGCAGGGCTCTGCTTCATTTTATAGATGCGTTTCGAGCAACAACCGAGGCGGGATCGCGAGCTTTCTACAGGGATCGCGGGAAATTGACCGGAGCGGCGCCGTTTGCAGCAGGATTTCGGCAAGATATCGCGGATGGATTCGTGGATCCGTCGGGCACAGGGTATATATGCAGGATTTTGATCTGAGCTTTCTTCTCGCTTTTGTTCCTCTGGTTATTATTCAGAGGTCAACAATGAAGGATCAAAATAGTCCCAAATTATATTTAAGGGCCATTTTGATTTCTCAAGTCTTTAAAAAAGAATTATAGCTTGGGACTACTTTGATTCATCTTTAAAGAGTTGAGAGACAAAATAATCATTTAATATAGCTTGGGACTATTTTGATCTTTCATGAAGAGTCAAAAGGCTATTTTGGTTCTTTAACCATTTTATATAGATCACTTAGGTATATTTAATATAAATGTTAACTCATTGAGTACATCTATTCTAACATTAAAATAATTTACATTACTTCTGAACTTGTAACTATTGTGTTATGGATGTTGAGATAAAACTCTTGAACTGCACAATTGAACTGTACTAAGTGTTTTGTCTGTTATGTTGTATGTTTTAAAACACGCATATTGTATTGTGACCGTTGTATTATATCACTAAGAATCTATTGTTATAATTGCACTCACTTATCATATCAGCCCTGTAGTCAGCTATATTATATCTTGTTCAAACATTATTCACCCTTATCTGAACCTATGTTAATCAGTGTTAAACTTTGCTCAAACTTTTTTCAAACTATGTTCTATATTTGAACTTTGTTGGAATATAATTCAAATAGAGTTTGAATATGGTTTGAACATAATTCAAACAAGGCTTGAACATGGATCCAAACCTTGTTGGAATATGATTCAAACCTTGTTTGAACCAATGCGGTCATGATGAACTTTAAATAAGTACACAAGACACAAACATTGCTGGAATATGGTTTAAACTTTGTTCTAATCCCATGTTGGTTGCAACAAACTAAAAAAAATACAGTGCAATCCAAAAACATGATTATTTTGCATGAAATAAAATTCTGAGCATATTCCCCAATATAACAAACAGTAATCATATATCTCCTATTTTCACTATATTATATATATATATATATAAGAAATTTAAACTCAGATGTTAAACTAACAAATTGAACAAGCATATAGGATAATGCCCATCACTAAATTGGCTTTTAGCAAGAAATCTAATAGACGAAAAATATTTGCTATATTAACATATTCAAATCCTTTATAATGAAGAAATCTATACATCAAAATTAACAACTTATTACAAATTTAATACCAAGATAATAAGAATCAACTTATACCACTGCAGATTTATGATTAAAAGTACAAGAACATTTTGCATGGAAAGCTCAAAATATTCAATCTAACAAACTGAAAGTTTAAAAACAGATCCCCTTCATCGTTTTATTTCACTTGTCAGCTTGCTTTCCCCAATGAGGGAACATTATATGTAATAAATATCAGAGTGCTTATCAGTTATTTGACTTGAAGATAATCTTAAAAAATCCGCTGTACAAGTTAATCATTTGTTTATAGTGACATCCAGTGAAAGCTTGTTGTTCAAATAAAGTTAACTTCTTTAACCAATGATGAGACAAAAGGACTACGAACCTTGACAGTCATGTAATCACGAGTAAGGATATGTCTTCCATCCTTCGAAAATTTAATATCCGAAACTGAAGCAATGATCTCCGTGAAAAAGGACCTAGGCCCAGGTGTCGCACGATCCTCAAATCTGTGGGATGAAACAGTCCACCCAAAAGTTCAGTTTGCGGCTAAGAATCCTGCCCACAGGCTACAAATCAGGACCAAACTGTGAAAATAAAACTTGACAAAACCCTAGGTGAACACAAACTCAGATAACTAAATCTAACTTTGACAACGCATGAAACAACCCAACCAAAAGTAACATAAAAGAAACCATCAAGAAATGGTTTTTGAAGTATAACTTTTATTAGCGCAAAACATGAATAACTCAGCACGCCCATACTGCCCATAAACAAAAAATGAACAACAAACTATGCATGCCTGCTAAACATCAAAACAGAATGTGAAGGATAACTTACAGCTTGGAATGATTATCACATAAAGCTGATTGCCGCAAATCAATAAGTCGTATGGACCCCTTTGAGCTACTATATGCTAGTGTATTACAATGAGTAGGGTGAAACTCGGCTGATGTAATAACCTCTGCAAGCATAAGAATATAGGACAAGTCAAACTTTCCTCCAAGAAAAGAAAAAGCATTTAACCAAAATATAATCCAGAAACAGACAGATCAACCTATATATGTTAAAGTTAATTGTGATTTGTCAGCCAACTCACCCGTACCATTCTGCCCACTTTTTTACATCGAATAGAACTGTCAATGGAGTAAAACTCAAAATTGACAAAACCTCTAATAAGACTCGGTATAAAACAATATTACCACGTGTTAACATAAAGATTGCCTAAATAAATTAGGTGAATTCAACATGCAGTAGAGATCATAAACTATAAAAATGATTAATGAGATAAGGGAAATATCTTTCACGAAGGAACTTGAGATCACAAAATAAAATCAAGCCACCCAAAAATAAGCCGCATCCAGACAAGTACAACCAGCTGGTTCAATCAAAGTTTTTGCATCTTACATAATAAACACCGTTATAACTTATGTATCCTGGGTTAATCTGATTTGTGCTTTTATCAACACAACAAAACTGAGAAGCAACTACAATTTCAATGTTCATGCTTTATAGTCGAGGATACCAAAATCAAGGAAGAAACAAATGGTTTGGGCATGTACCATGAAGAGTAGAAGATGCAGCAATCAACCAAAACTAGTAAGAATGATTAGAAGTTGTCCAAAAGGGAACTAACAAACCTAGTAACAAGAATGAATAAATATTAAATTGATAGTCAGCTCCAATAGTTAGGGCTTCGATGTTAATGATGACAAACCTAGAGTTGAAGGCAAAGTGGTACTTCGCATAAAAGTTAGAAATCAAAGCATAATGACAGTAAATTGCACACAACATGCAATTCATACCAGGAATGAGTGGGCAAAAAGGAATTCATGGAGCAGACTTAAGCATAATTTTGATGAGTGCAGTTCATATACAATGCACAAAATGAAGCCCAAAGGATTTTTTTGTTTTGTTTTGAAGCACATAATGCACAATGATGCACACGCTTCATCCATTGAATCACTATGCAGACACAGAAATATAGCTTAAAGAGAAACTACATAAAACAGAAATCTCTTAATAGCTTAAAGAGAAACTACATGCCTTCTTACTGAAACTCTATTCCATGCCAAGCAAGATGAAAGAGAGAAGGAACACCAATATAGATTTTTTTAAGTAATAAAAATATGAAAGAGCACAAAGAACCTTCCCAAATCAAAAGTTAGAAGCTAAGAATACTGGCAGATGGCTAAGCTTCAAGCTTGGCGACCTCAAAAAAACAAGCTCAGAAAACCCCTATCATGAAACTATAGCTAATGAAATAAAACGAGTCCGTTAAAATCAAGAAGAAAAATTGGAGGCAAAGTTCAATGGAATGGAGAAACTCTGTGCCTAAGAACTTAGCAATGAGAAAGAATGAACAAGAAGAGTGGTACAATGGATGGATGCAGGGGTGTTTTGTTCCTTTATATAATAGCTAGGCTAAAATCCATCAAGTCTCCTAAAATATAGACCTGCTTTATATGAAGAGAAAAAGAAAAGGACAAATCGTGCTGTTTGCTGTTTTGAAGTGATTTGCTCATGCACATCAGTGCTTCAATGCATATTGCCTTCAGTGGCACTTCCAATTCAGCTTTTTTATCATTCAACATTAAACCTATGATGTGAACCCATTTCATCGCAAGCACACATTACTGCAAACATCCGTGCATCTAACAATATATTTGAGAAAATTATGAAAATTCTGAACAGTATTAATAAATTTAGGAGGGAAAAGGGTGAGGCTAAAGCTAGCAGCTAGGAGTGGGTAGGGTTTAGGTTGGGCGAAAATTTTTTGGAGGAAAATTCAATTTTAAAATTTTGAATTTGAAATAGGAGAAAATCAAATTCAAAATGTTGAAATTAATTAAGCTATAAAGGTGGGAGTAATTGGTGGGATTGGAGGCTTAATTAGGAAAGCATTAATGAGCCTTTTAATTATGTGAGATAGAGGGAGAGGGGCCGGCCAAAATAAGGGGATTTGAAATTTAAATTCAAAAGCTTTCCAAAATTAAAACAAATTCAAATAGGAAAGAAGGAAACTAGAATGAGAGGGTTAAGGAAAGTGGCAGCTTGGTGGAGAAGGTGACGGTTTGGTGGGGTTTTGATGCAAGCAAAACTAGAAAAGAGAGACAAATTGGAGAACATCAGAACAAGACTTAAACCAAACTCGATTCATATAAACCTTGCAAACATCCAAACAAACATAAGAGAAACAAAAGCCAAATCGAAGAAAACAAAATAAAAATATAAAAATGCTATCCTCAATAAAACTGTCTAGTGGTCTCCTCACATGCAACGAAACTAGGAATTTTAAGAAAATTGTGCTTAGGCTTGCAAACCAAGGGTCCACCACTGCAAAAGAGTCCAACGTCCTTTCCAAACTCCTCCGGGATCCGGCAAATGTCTCCAAACTTTAGCCAACATACACTTCCAAAGCTCAAGAAGAAGGATACAAGTGGAGTGGAACTTGCGTGGAGATGAAGGGGTTAAAAGCCAAGACAAAATAGAGAAGAGAAGAAGGGGATGCAACAAGCTCTCAAGCTTTTCCAAGAAGAAACCCTCAGGTTTTTGTAGAGTTTTTACTCACAATTATCAACAGCCTTTTTGCATGCCAAAACAACTCTCTTTTACAGGCAAAAGAAGGTAGACAAGTAGCCATATCACCTCCAACCAAAGCCAATAGGAATTGGGGAAATGAAAGGCCAAAAGTCACCAAGTAGAAAGTTAAAAGACAGCAAAGACTATAGCAGAAAACTGCACAGAAAACAGAGTGAAAACCACGGAAATTCCCTCCAAAATGCTACGGGAAAATAGCCAGCATGAGACCCGAAAAATCAGCACAGGAGGCCAAGCACCAGGGCACGGGAACTCCAGCCAGCACAGGAAATTGTTGACCTGTATACTAAATCCAAAGGAAACAAAAAAAAAAAGACTAAAAAACATAACTTGTCCGTTGGATCCTCGAATCCAGCCGCGATACCTTGCCGAAATCGCGCTGATTGCCGTTCGCGTCAAAACAGCCGCAGATCCCGTATCCAGCCTCGATCGTTGCTCTCTGAGGCCTTTAAAAGCCGCTCGAATGAAGCCTTCGGGAGCTACTTCTCCCACGAAAACTCTCTGCCTCCGTCGCTGCTTCCACGACACTTCCCCATCCAATCTCCCTCCTCCGATCTCCACCGAGCCGCAACCATCTCAAACCCGAACTCCACCTCTTCCGATCCTCCCATACTCGTCGGCTGAGAGAGAGAGAGAGAGAGAGAGGGGGGGAAGACCGACCTACCTCCTCCATCCGACCGAGCATAGCCTCACGCCAGCGCCTCCTCTGCCCGAACTCCTTCAAGCCGAGACCTGCCCTAGCCGTGAGCCTTCTCTCTCAGACCGGCCGACTCCGTCTCCCTCCTTCCTGTTTCCGATCGAAAGTTACGACATTTTGAGCGGAAACAACACAGGAGCTCGCTAGCTGGGAAGGTAACTTTCTCCCTTATGCACGCTCGGCCAAATCCCGTAGACCCGCTGAACAGCAGAGGGAGGAAAGGGAGAGATAGTTCATGCAATTTTGATTAAAATTAATTTTGATTAATTTTAATCAAAATTAATAATAATTATTAATTAATTTTAATTTTTGTAAATTAGAACACCCGGAGTATACTGCTGAGAGCATAAGTCA